GTAACACAAGCTGTAAGGTATCATCAGCTACTTGTTTTAAGCCACTGTAGCATGCATAGCATACTGATTAGCTAGCTGTTTGTATCCTCCTGTAGCCTATGCTTTGTTTCACAGTTGCAGTCAAAGTTCATTATTTGTAATACAGTATGCATATATATATATTTTCTTGTCAGAATTAACGTTACATTTGATAAAAACTCAATAAAATAAATATGAAAAGCAACTGACAATGCCCGGTATGTTCAGTTTTTGCAAACAAGCCTTTGTTTTTCTTTCTCAACATTAAAATGTTCTCCTTTTAAGGATGATTTGGTGGAAAGAATAAAAGAGGTTGTCATACGATGCTTGGTGGTGTGTCTTCGTGAAAAGGAGGATCTCTTCAAGGAAAACTTAAGTAAGTAAAGACGATGCTTAAATCATACTGTAACTTGTGTTAACCTGAAACACAACGCAATGTTTTCAAATCTGATTGCACCAAAAACACTGAAATGTATTTTCTAATCTACTTATTCCAGGATGGTGAAGTGGAAGTTAGCAATGAGATGCTGAAGACTGTCTTGACCAGGGCTGCAGATGCAAGAATATGGATTGAAGGAACAGAAGTCCTTCAGATCTCGGATGTGACAAGAGCCTGTGCGATGCTAATAAGGCTAATATGCACTTAACCTATAACCAAAAGAGTTAAAAACGTTGGAAGCAGGTTCATGCCTTTATTTACATTTTTGTATTTACTTTTATTTCATATTTGAGAACATTTGTTATAAAAAGGTCATTGTGAAACAAACATTTCAAATAAAACTGTGAAAGTGGAACTTCAATGTGTATGTAATTTTGGGGGCTAAAAAACTGAATCAGTTTCTAATACTCAAAACAAAAATTAAGTAACAATTTTTGGAGTCGTATGACTTAAATAATAGAATGACAACAGCTTAAATTAAACAAAATGCAACTTAATATCACTCCATCATTTACGATTAAAATTAAGTGGCGTTCATACCTAATTGAGTTTCTTAAAGGTGAAGCAACTTATGTTTGTAGGTACTGAACTAATTGATTAATTCGAGGATTATCACTATGTGGGGGTATCTCAGCCTCTTACGCACAATCAACGACTTCGAGGTTCTACATATCGATCTAACATTGAGAACCTAAAACAAGTGATGCAACGTCAAATTGGTTACCTCAATATTATTTAATGTACGTAGCCTCGCGAAGATATTTGTTTTAGAGTGAAGAGCGTCAGGCGGTCAAAAGACTATCTCCTCAAACCAACGAGAATCTTATATCACAAAAAGACTTTAATTCTCTACAAGAAAAAAGAAAACAGTGCATGTTGTGTAAAATAACTGACTAACAAGCCGCGAACTTATCGCGAGAATGTCTAAGGTAAATAATTTGGGCTTCTAATGTGGATAACTAAATAAAACACTTTATCGCTCAAAGGGTAATCATGCCTAAGGTTAATTCCACACCCTCTCGCCCAGTTAAAAAAATATATCAAAACTCTGAGGCTTCTGTCGTTCTGCACGGTTCTAATGTTATAGGACTTACGGAGGAGGAGATATGTGTGACCCCCAATATAGCTATCTCTATGAATAGCGGTGGAATTATGATCTTTGGTCACCTTTGAAGCATACTGACGTGAGAGAGTCTTTGAGCTCTTTCTGAGATACATGCACGCACAAGAACATGGCACAAAACTGATACTTTTCTTTCTTCTTGTTGAGCTTGGAGAATTGTTCTAGCTACCACTTCTGAAGACAGCCAGCAGAACAGATGCGACGGATGTAGATTGTCAGATCGTGTGTACTGATTGAAAAGTGTTTTCCGTGCATTCATGTAGAGTAATGCATATCAGGTATTACAGTACGCGCGGATGTTCTCAATCTGTGAGATCAGCCCCGACGAGGGAAATGTGAACCGGATCATGAAAGATATAGAAAGTAGAGAGTCTAGATATAGTCTCTCGCATTTCTTAGTCCCTGCTGGTTGGGTCCTGCACTAAGCTTCCTACAATGGAGGAGTCGAGGCTGATGCTAGTGCGAGAAATTTTTCCATGCCGACAAGCATTCGCTCGAACTCGCTCAAAGTTTACTCTGAACGATCTGTTCACCACAGGGTGGATGCGCACAGGACCAGGCGGACTTCTGGCAGTTGAGCAATGCTGGTCGACGCCATCTGACAGAACATGATCGATCTATGGGTTAAGCTTTCATGCTACAGCTACACTACACAACACCAGTCCTTTCCAGCAGATGATATATCATCCGATCTGAACACATTTTCCATCTACGTCGCATAGATCGGAGAAGTAGTATGCTGGATCATGTAATGTGGTTAGACCCCTGTACACTTGCTGTCAAAGGCTAGTTGTCTATCTTCCTACATGTAGGACATGTATAGAGGCTACATTTTTTAACAGCGGGATATATTTACTGTTTCGCAACTTTTGCTTCTCTTGTTTTTTGAGATACAGACCTCAATCATAAATGGGTTTTTACCGAGCTACCAGTAGTCTTGTGTTCTTGCGAGCGCATGTTAATTATGTGATTAACTGACTTGTTCCATCCCTGGTAACGCCCAGTGTAGTTAGCTGTGGTGACACACTGAGTGACGTCAACGAGTAGTACGGCCTGCAACCAGTACTCCTGATCAGTGGCCTTTGACCAGTCGAAACACCGGCGCGCGGAAGCCACACATTATGCTGTGGCGCATACTCCACTCGATGATAAAAGCTTGGTTAGATCCACGGCTTCAACCAACTAACACAACAGTCATGGAAGCTATAAGTGCAAAGTCTGCAGGAAGTGTATGACAACCTCGCCATTTGCTGATGGGTTGTTTTGTAATGGAGTGTAACTTTTCCTCTTCCAGCAACAGGCGCGGGGGCGTGCCGAGCTGGTCAAGCGCGTAGGCAAGGCGAGTAAACCGCTCGAACTGTTTTCTCTGGTACATCGTCATAAACCTGAGAAATATATGGACGTGTGGACGAGGGGCCCTGCCAACGCACTAACGCGCGATGAGCGGTTGACCTGCAAGACAGTCAGTTACTAGCTCCACACGTAGTTGCACAACTCGATAGTCCAGCAGCTAGACTACCATGGCTGAGAAGTTCAGGGACTGACCTGGCCGAGTATGGCCGTAAGGCTCCATACAGGGAGTTTGACACACTTTGTTGAGCGTAATATATCCCGACTCCCTGCCACTCCGCAGCACTCCATCTAAAACTACGTGATGAAGCAATACACTGCTCCCTTGTCCTGACAGAGTTCTGTTGCAAGCAGCGGTGAGCAGCTGAGGAGTAGACGAAAATCAGAGAAAATGGAAAAAGAACTTGGGACTTTCAGGTGTGGCTCCAAGTAAATATGTTTAGTGCCAATTAGTTGTAAGTTGAAAAAATAACTCGCGTTCAGCGTTCAGACCCGAAAGCGTGGGCAGTTCATTGTGCAACCAATATATGAAAGTTCGAACTGGCCCTCCACGCTGCAACCAAGCACACGCCCGACCGAGCGACACTGACTGTCAAACACCACACACCCGCGAGATGCTCTAAGCAGCTCAANATCTACTGTTTCACCATAACATCTAGAGGGGCGCTGTTTCACTCTTTGTAAAATACTCAATGAGAATGGGGGAGAGACGGGCCGGCAGAAACACACAACAAAGAATTTCCGAAACTAAACGAAGTGTTTTTATTTATTTATTAAAATTATAACTACAATCCGAAAAAACAGGGGAAGCCTGGCTTCCCTTGGCCTCCAGGAGAAAACGCCACTGGGTAAGACCACAATTGTAATGAAAATGGGATCTTACTAAGAAAGAACAATCCAATATTTAGATGTTGGGTATCCTTTTGTTGAACGGTCTGTTTAAAATGAATCGAAGCATCGGACTAAAAAAGCTTTTGAAAATAGCCGAATATTTCGATTAAGGTAAAAATATAATATTTGTAAATCTGACTCTGAAAGAGTCAGTGCCTCACCAGCCATGAACCTCACCGCACGTCACTGATGTAGATAGAATAAGAAATGTGAAGAATTTTACAGTTTAATGGTGGAGGTATACACACATATTGATAGATGTCTTGTAATGCACTGTTGAGGAACCTTTGACCCAAGTGCCCAACTACACCGTAGTTGTGTATATGATATGTCAATAAACCTTAGAAAATCTTGAAATCTTGAAAGGGATGTGCAAAAATAGCAATTATATACAGTTTTTAGTTAACTATTAGTAGAGAATAACGAGTAATTAATATACTTTATAGGAATCTGCAGATAAATGTTTTAGTCTTCTCAAGCACCAACTATCAAATATCTCTCCTGATTGTTGGCACTTGACAATCACCTTCCCTGAATTTTACTCAGGTGTAACTAAAGTCTGCTTTAAGGGTTGTTTATATTTCACATCATTAATCAGAATCTGCAAAGTAACTCAGTAGAATTACAAAGTAACAATGAGCTGTCATGTGGGTATATATTAATGCTGCCCATTATGGATACAAGCGATTTTCACCCATTTAGTAATTACATGTTTTAAATGTGTACACACCAATGTGTTTCCTATCGCCTAAACCTCCAGGGCTGTACACAGTTTAATACTGTCAACTTCTAATTTTGGGAAAAACTAAAACGTCTTTTAAAACTACAACTCCCAGTCGAGACGTGCTATAGAGAACATGTTGCGAAACACAGTAGCCAGCATGTGTAGTTCTTGGGGGGAGTTTGTGGGAGAAAATACGTTTCCAGCTAAACGTAATTGAGAATGCAGTTTAGTTCTGTGGGAACGTAATTTTTAGGAGACAGGGTTGATGTTTCGATATATTTACCTTGGTCAAAAATATCAATCATCTCATGAGATAGATTTTTAACCCTATTGTAGAGCCTTATTACTTTCTTTTGTGTACTGTAGCAGAAAATCATAAGGTCGACTACGTTTTATACTCACTCTCCATGCATTCACGGCTGTCAGTGTCTCTGTAATTATCATAAATACTTTTTGTTTCAGGAGCTAATATCAGGGAAGTAAATGTGAAAAAGCTCACCTCAGGAGTCCTCCACACAAAGTTCTGGGTCGTGGACAAAAAACACATTTACATTGGCAGTGCCAACATGGACTGGAGGTCTCTCACACAGGTACATACACACACACACACACACACATACACACACACAGGTTATCAGTTAGAATTAAGTTTCACCAAATCAACTAACCAATTTAAGTATAGCTAAATACAGTAATTATGTATTTGTTTTTTTTCTCTTATGTAAATTAGATTAGACACATCCCAGGCAATAATGTGTTAAACTCAATAAGAGGGTGTCTTGTAACCGATCCAAGCCGAATTCTGTTTCTTCTGCTTTTAAGAGGAAGTTTGCTCAGTTGGTCACATGCCATGCAGAAAAAGCAGTTTAGAGCGCTGTGATATGATACAGTAATGAGAGGAAATAAATGACGTTTATGAAGTTTCCAGTGAAGCCTGAGAACTTTCACATGGTCAAAGAAGAACATTTGAAATTAGATATCGTACTGGAGTTATGATCGGCGAGCAACATTAACAAAATAGTTTTTGTATGTGTTGCTTCGGCAGTTGTTTTACTCTTTATTGTCACAATTTTAAAATCCAGAAGCAATTGAAATGTAAGATAATGTCCTGCTGTGGTGCAGGTGAAGGAGCTGGGCGCCGTGGTGTACAACTGCAGCTGCCTGGCTGCAGACCTGGGGAAGATCTTTGAAGCCTACTGGTTCCTGGGGGAGAGTGACACAGTGCCCTCACCTTGGCCCCCCAGCTTCTCCACCAACTACAACAAGGACACGCCCCTCGAGCTGCCACTCAACAACACGCCGTCCAACGTCTACCTGTCGGTGAGAAACAAACAGAGAGGGGGAGGGGATCTGTGAATGTCAGTATATTATTAGAAAGAGCCCAATCTGTTTAAAAGGGGCTTGCTGCATATTGTCCCAAACTGACACCAAAGAACACGTCCCGACGGAACACGACTGTTGTGTCGCCTCACGTCTCCTGCGTCTTGGCCAACAGTCGCACTGGAACACACTAGTGATGTGTCGGTCGCGAAAGAGCCGATTCTTTTGAACGGCTCTTTGGTACGAACGAGGGGAACCGAGTCCTACTTGGTGAGAGCCGTTCTTGTTATCGTTCAATCGTTGGTCCACACTCACTGCCTGCCAAAATCCACTCGCCTGTTAAAAAGCTTGATTTTGTTCCCCAAACGTATTCTGTGAAGACCCGCCCCTACTCTGATTGGTAGGTTTCAGCACAAGGAGTGAGATAGGGTTGGTTTTAACCAGTGGTGTAGTGGGGATTTTTTTACTGGGGGGGGTGGTGGGTGGACGGGAGACATATATGGACGCGCTCGTGAACTGTCAACGGGGAGGAGGGGCGTTTAGACAATATATTAATAAAGGGCGGTATCGCCTGTCAGCGAACCGATCCGGCCTTTCTGCGCGACTATCACTGAAATGCGGGACATAGTCTCAATTTGTGGCACGCGGGACAAATAATAAAAATGCTGTGTGTGCACTCCCGCACAGTGCGGGACACCTGGTCACCCTACACACACACGGTGCTGCCCCTCACACGCACACACGCTTCAAATCAAGTTGCATAAATGCTTGAGCTACGTTTTTATTATAATTACTGTGAAATCTGCCTATTATGTTTTCGTCATTATTACAACAAACACACACTTGCAACTGATAACACTGGCAATTATTTTAGATGTATTAGACTATTAAAATAAGAAATCATGCTTCAAATAAGTGGGGGTACGGCGTACCCCCGCGTCCAACGCCCACTACACCACTGACTGCAACTACAAAAAGCTAAGGTTTGTTTTCTCATCAGGAAATGCAGACCGGCTCAAACAAAAGATTTTTAAATCATCATCCTCACGATCATTTAATGTATCATATGTTC